TATAGTGTGCACGGGCTCAGCTCAATCTCCAGCACAATAAATGACCTAGTTAATTATTCATTAAGTTACAGATAACTGTTGGCCAGGACTAGCCCTGTTGGTCCAATGTCCAAAATTAGATAGTGTCTCCCTTCTCTAGATTCCTCTGGGCAACTTATAAGAATTGGTTCTCTCCTTTCACCATGTGGGTCCTGGGGATCAAACTAGGGTCATCATGATTGTCAGCAAAAGTCTTTATTTGCTGAGCTTGCCTGTATACCCTTAATACTGCTTTTTTTTTTTCTAAGCCGGCAAGTAACAGGGTGAGTAATTTGTTTCCTGTCTGTGACTGTGTTTCTCCCTCTTGTCGGGCTGCTGGGAAGGGCTCCCCACAGGCAGCTGAGTTCCTTGCTGTTGGCATTCAGATAACCACTGCTCATGTAACTTCCCTCTTTGGGAATCCAGGGACTTTTCTTTTCCTTGTTGATCATGGGTACAAAAGTGGCCCAGAGTCATTTATCAAGAAGTACATGGCTTCAAAGAACATGATCTCTCTGAGTGAAAAGCTTATACCTAAAGATCAAAACAAAACAAAACAAATCCCCAGCATTGTCATAAAAACCCTGAAAGCGGGACACTCACAGCTCTCATGACATAAGGCAGAATCACTCCACATGTAGCCTGCTCTGCCTACAGCTGCTTTTCATAAAGGGTAACGATTGAGCAATAAAGGACGGTAAAGAAGTGAGGTGGGAATGCGGGGAGTGGGAGTCAACATTCAGCCTTTTGTCTCCTAACAGAGAACACATCACCACATCCCCTTTGCACTAAGAAACAATAAGTCACAGAATTCCCACAATAGAATTTGCAAGCTTTGCTATCTGTATCTTAAGATAGTAACTACAATATAAAAAAATCATTTTCTAATCTTTTGTTTTAGAGTTCCACAAAATCAGGAATGTGTCACTATGTGATTTAAACCCCCCAAAACCTCCAATTTTTTCTATTTTATAAACTTTAGTTTTATTTATTTTCCTAGTATCTAAGATACTTTTTCTTCTTTCTCTGACAAAGAAAAATAGATCCAGCCTAGTAAGAAAAGGCTTGAAGGTGCCCTTTGTAAATCTAGGGATGTAATATTCAATGGAAGGTTATATAATTCTAGATTGATGTATCATTAATCATTTCATGTGAATATCTGTACACCAAGAAATTAAAGAGGACGTATGTTACCCTGGTGTGCGTAGGGTAACATACTAAACTGTTAGAATTGAAACTGAATGTTCTCTCTGTTAACTGAAGAAATTCATGTCTATACCTCTCTAACATAAATAATAGAATTCATTTGACAGTATAAACAGCATTTTAAATAATGAAGAACTATATGATCTTTAATACTGAAGCATCTTCTGACAACAAGTAAACCTCTGAGGCCTGAGAAGGGTAAGGAATGGCTGTGAGCATCAGCCCTAGGTCCAGCACCAGGAGAAACAGGAACCCAGGCAAACCTCATTCACAGACCTCACAGACATTAAGCCAAGAACCTCATTCACAGACCTCACGGACATTAAGCCAAGAAAAACACTTCTCATTAGCTGCCCTGAAGAGTCCTTCCTATGTACGTGGGAGGAAGTCATTTGCCAGATGTCACTGCTTATTTTTCAAGTCTGTCTTTGGCTTATGCTTATTTTTTCTTGTCCTCCCCCAGCTTCTCCCATACACAGTATACGGGGGAAGAGAGGAAACAAGGCTCTAACACTCCTTAAAGAAGTACCTACCTGTTCCAACGAGTACATCAGTGTCAGCATGTGTTCCTGTTTATGGGTCCAGTCTAATCGCTGATGGACACTGCAAGATTAGGCTTGCCCGTGCCACGCCATCAAGATGCCCAGCAGCAGGAGAGATAATTTTACAACTTAGCATCATGAATGACATCTTTCTCTCTTGTGATAACACAAGGCCTTTAGAGATAAATCAAGATGAAGATAAGAAACAGTCAACATGAAAAGAAAGTATTGTGTTGTTCTTTAAAGATGTGTAATACCTGGTTCTTCCAAAAGATGACACAACAGACTGTCAGGCTGTGCTTCACTGGCCAGGGTTCACAAAGAAATTTCCCTGCAGTCTTGGTTTCCCCTCAAGACAAGAGCAACCAGACTAGCCGATTCAGCAGTGCGGCCTCTAGTGGGCCCAATGTTATTTGTCCTTTATTGGCCTTATCTAAAATCACAATGGTATTGGTATAGGGCACAGTGTCCCCAGCTGTCTCCCACCCAGGCCCATCACCCTGTCAGCTTGCCCAAAGCCAACTATTCCTAGGTAAGTGCTGCCTCTCCAGCCATATACAGGCTTACTTCTGACTCTCTGATGGGTTTCCCAATTGAACTGTCCCTCTGTTATATCCTAGGTCATTCCATAATTAGGAGCTAGGCCAGCTCCTAATAATGGAGGCAGAGTGTATTAGTTAGTTTTCTGCTGCTGTGATAAAACAAAAAAACTTAGAGAAAAAAGTTTCCAGAGAGATAGGGTCTGAAGGGCAGGGAAGCCATGGCAGCACGTAGCAGGCAGGGCAGGCAACAGAGCGGGAAGCCAAAAGCTCACATCTTGAAGAGCAATAACAAAATAGAGAGAACAAACTCAAAGTAGGCAAGTTTGTTTGTTGGTTGGTTGGTTGGTTGGTTGGTTGGTTGGTTGGTTGGTTGGTT